TCTGGGGGAGGGGAGTGCCGAGAGATCAAAGGATCGTTTCTCACCTTCCCCAAACAAGTCCCTGGGTGACCTGCGACCAAGGTTTTCACCTCCTGCGATGTTCCCTCTTGTTTAGAAAGTCTCTCCGTTGTTTCCCTGGCTTCAGAAGTTCTTCCACTCATCAACTCAGAACTTTATCTCTTCCACAGCTCGGAAACTGTGTGTGCTAGTCGCCATCTTGGCTCCGCCTCTGCATGAGAAACTTTTTGGCTTGGTTTTTGCTTTATATGGTTTTGATATGCCCATATTCCTGTGTATTTGTAAGGTAATTTTAATTGTATAAGATCATATATAGTAAGTAATATTTGACTCATCTATATCAGTGGTTCTCAAACTTTCTAACACTGCAATACTTTAATACAGTTCCTCATGTTGTAATTACCCCAACCATAAAATTATTTCATTAGTACTTTATAACTGTAATACTGCTACTACTATGACTTGTTATATTAATACATGATCTGCAGAATACCTGATATTCTAACCCCAAAGAGGTCATGACACACAAGTTGAAAATCACTGTTCTTAACAGATGGTTTATTTGTCATAGTTCTTACTGGGTAGGCAGGTGATTATTCACTTGCACCAGACAAAACAAGGAGTCATTTGGCATGAGGATTTGTATTCAAAATGCAACAATCTAGTTCTGTTCCCTAATCTATCTCAACAGCCCTGTATCATTTTGAGGGATGGGACAGATGAAGTATTTTTGCTATTGTAGAGAACGAGGGTTAAGTTCCAAGGACCCACAAAGAGGTTAACAACATTCAGTAACTCCCAGTAGATTCTATTCCCTTTTCTTGCCTCCTCAGGCACCAGGCACTATTCATGAGATGCATATCTATACATGAAGACAAAATACTCATACATATGATAGAAAACAAACACATATTTTTAAGAATTGTGTTATGCAGGATCCTATATTTTAAAATGTAACAAAGAATCTTGAAGAGGATGGTGTCACTCAAGGCAAGTCACTGCCTGAAAACTCCATTTGAAATAACTTAGGGCAAGGCACAGTGTACTCTACGCAATATTTTATCCTTCATATTGCAGGCTAAATCCATGCACATCACAGCACACTTAGGCAAGTTCATTTTATGGCCTCAAAATTAACTGTCTTATCTCTTTTCTAATCATTTGAACAAAGAATGAAAATAAAAGCATTTTTAAATTTTTTTTATTAGTTACATTTTATTAACTCTATACCCCAGCGGTAGCCCACTCCCTCATTCCATCCAACTCCACCCTCCCTCCCTCATCTCCTCCCTAACCCTTTCTAAGTCCACTGATTGGAGAAGACCTCCTCCCCTTTCATATGACCCTGTTTTATCAGGTATCTTCAGGACTGGCTGCAAAGTCCTCCTCTGTGACCTAGCAGGACTGCTCCTCCTTTGGGGGGTGGGGAGGCCAAAGAGTCTGCCATTGAGTTCAGGTCAAAAATAGAACCTGTTCCCCTTACTAGGGAAACCAATTGGTTACTGAACTACCACGGGCTACATCCAAACAGAGGTTCTAGGTTATATCCATACATGGTCCTTGGTGGAGTATCAGTCTCATAAAAGACCCCTATACCCAGATATATCTGGTCCTTGTGGAGCTCCTATCCTCTCCATGTCATGATAACTCCTCGTTCTTTCATATGATTCCTTGTATTCTGCCGAAGGTTTGGTTATGAGTCTTTTTTTTTTAATTTTTATATTTTTAATATTAGTTACAGTTTGTTAACTTTGTATCCCTGCTGTATCCCATTCCCTCTTTTCCTCCCAATCCCAACCTCATCTTCTCCCTGCCCCTTTCCAAGTCCACTGATAAGGGAGAACCTCCTCCCCTTATATCTGATACTGGTTTATGAGGTATCTTCAGGACTAGCTACAAAGTCTTCCTCTGTGGCCTAGCAATGCTGCTCCTCTCTGGGGTGGGGGGGAGTCAAAGAGCCCACCGTTGAGTTCATGTCAGAAACAGTCCCTGTTCCCCTTACTAGGGTACCCACTTGGATACTGATCTACCAAGGGCTACATCTGAGCAGGGGCTCTAGGTTGCATCTATACATGGTTCTTGTTTGGAGAAACAGTCTCATAAAAGATCCCTGTGCCCAGATATATTTTTTCCTTGTGGAACTCCTGGCCTCTCCCAATCATATTAACCCCACCCTCCGTTTTTTGATTCCCTGCATTCTGCCTGAGGTTTGGTTATGAGTCTTAATATCTGCTTTGATACACTGCTAAGTAGAGTCTCTCAGAGGCCCTCTGTGGTAGGCTTCTGTCCTGATACTTATTTGCTCCTATGTTCAATGTCCATCCCATCTGTTTTTCTAAGTGAGGATTTATCATCATACCCTGGTTCTTCTTTCTTGTTTATCTTCTTTAGGTGTATAGATTTCAGTATATTTATCCTATCTTATAGGTCTATATAAGTGAGTATATACCACGTGTGTCTTTCTGCTTTTGGAATACCTCACTCAGGATGATCATTTCTAGGTCCCACCCTTTGCCTGTAAATTTTATGATTTCCTCGTTTTTAATTGCTGAGTAGTATTCCACTGTGTAAAAGTACCACAATTTCTATATCCATTCCTCCTTTGATGGACATCTGGGTTGTCCCCAGGTTCTGGCTATTACAAATAAAGCTGCTACAAACATGGTTGAGCAAATGTCCTTGTATATTTGAGCAAATTTTGGGTATATACCTAGGAGTGGTATAGCTGGGTCTTGAGGAAGCACTATTCCTAATTGTCTGAGAAAGTGCCAGATTGATTTCCAAAGTGGTTGTACCCGTTTACATTCCCACCAACAATGGAAGAGTTCCCCTTTCTCCACAACCTCTCCAGCATGTGTTGTCATTTGAGGTTTTTATTTTAGTCATTTTGATGTGTATAAGGTGAAATCTCAGGGTCGCTTTAAGTGTTCCTCCGCCATTCTATATTCCTCTACAGAGATTTCTGTTTAGCTCTGTACCCCATTTTTTAATAGGATTACTTGATTTATTGCTTTTTAACTTCTTTAGTTCTTTATATATTCTGGATATCAGCCCTCTGTTAGATAAAGGGTTGGTGAAGATTTTTTCCCAGTCTGTAGGCTGTCATTTTGTTCTGATGACAGTCTTTTCCTTTACAGGAGCTTTTCAGTTTCATGAGGTCCCATTTATTGATTGTTGCTCTTAGAGCCTGTGCTGTTGGTGTTCTGTTCAGGAAGTTCTCTCCTGTGCCAATGACTTCTAGGCTCTTTCCCACTTTTTCTTCTAAGCGGTTTAGTGTGTCTGGTTTTATGTTGAGGTCTTTGATCCACTTGGACTTCAGTTTTGTGCAGGGTGATAAATATGGATCTATTTGTATTTTTCTACATGTAGACATCCAGTTGACCAGCACCATTTGTAGAAGATACTGTCTGTTTTCCATTGAATGGTTTTGGTTTCTTGGACAAAAAATCAAGTATTCATGGGTGTGTGTGTGTTTATTTCTGTGTCTTCTATTAGTTCCATTGATCCTCCTTTCTGTTTCTATGCCAATACCATGCAGTTTTTATTACTGTTTCTCTGTAATACAGCTTGAGATCAGGGATGGAGATATCTCCTAATGATCTGTTGTTGTACAGGGTCGTTTTGGAGATCCTGGGTTTTTTGTTTTGTTTTGTTTTGTTTCTCCCTATTTAAGCTGAGAATCTTTTATTCAAGGTCTGTAAAGAATTGAGTTGGTATTTTCATGGGAATTGCATTGATTCTCTAGATTGCTTTTGGTGGGATGGCCATTTTCACTATGTTAATCCTACCAATGCATGAGCTTGGGAGATCTTTCCATCTTCTGATATCTTCTTCAATTTCTTTCTTCAGAGATTTAAAGTTGTTCTTTTTTTTTTTTAAAAAAAAAAAAAAACAGGTCTTTCACTTGCTTGGTTAGAGTCCCCCAAGTTACTTTATGTTATTAGTGGCTATTGTGAAGTGTGTTGTTTCCTTGATTTCTTTCTCGGCCCTTTTATCTTTGGTACACAGGAGGGCTTCTGACTTTTTTTGAGTTGATTTTGTATCCTGCCACTTTGCTGGAGGAGTTCTCTGGTTGAATTTTTGGGGTCGCTCATGTACACTATCATATCATCTATGAATAGTAACACTTTGACCTCATCGTTTCCAATTTGTATCCCCTTGATCTCCTTTAGTTTTCTTATTGCTCTAGCTAGGACTTCAAGTACTATGTTGAAGAGATATGGAGAGAGTGGGCAGCCTTGCCTTGTCCCTGATTTCAGTGGGATTGATTTAAATTTCTCTCCATTGAGTTTGATGTTGACTATAGGCTTGCTGTATATTTTCCTTACTATGTTTAGGTATGTGCCTTGTATCTCTGATCTCTCCAAGACTTTAAACATGAATGGGTGTTAGACTTTGTCAGATGCTATAAAAGCAAAAATTAATGATAGAATTCTTCTGTGTGAAGGAGATAGGTTGTTTTCATACAAAATTTTTAATAAAGTATTTCAAAGGCATAGCTAAAAATCTTTTCAGGAATGCTGCTTGAGTTGTTTAAGAGCATCATTCAGAAAGTTCATTTGTCTCTAGTCAAATATTATATCAAAAATAAATTTCTGTCAGTGACAGACATGGGAGGGGTTCTAATGAGAGTACATGGGATGTTCTGGAGGGAGAAAAGAGAAGGGGGAAAGTGGTGTGATTGTTTTAGTTGAACATATGTATAAAAGGATTGTGTGTGGTGGTACACAGGTCTTTAATCCCAGCATTTGTGAGGTAGAAGCTGATGGATCCCTTTGAGTTTTAGGCCTGCCTGATCTATCTACAAAACAAATCTAAAGCCAGTCAGGGCTACACAGTGAGCAAATATATTTTTAAAAAAGTATAAAAAATAAATGGGTTTTTTTTTGTAGGAACAGAATAAAAATACAAGCTATGTTTGTTTGTGTTACCTATTTTGAAGCATTAAGAAAAATAATCCCTCAATTGTTTTCTTTATTCAGATGAGGGGTATGTCTGATAAGTCACTGAGACTAGTGCTGTCCACATTTAGCAACATCCGGGAAGAACTTGGACATCTTCAAAATGATTTGACAGTAAGATTTATATTTATATTTCCCTCAAAAATCATTATTTCTGATTGTTTACTTCCTAACATGGAAATAAAAATATTCAATATACCTTTATAAAATTTATTGTAAAGTGACAATACTACACATACCTAGACATAAATTATTTTTTCAAACAGCTAATTAGCATTGAAAGATGACAAAAGAATTGCCTCATTTGTACATGAAAGTGTGTTAATATGTACTAATCATTTAATTTAACACTAAGGTAATTTTAATGCTGAAAGGCAGAGTTGCCTACAAAATTAGAACCACTGTATTCATTTAATAAGTATTTCCTTCTTTACTACCATAATAACGTATATTTTAATTTCTCTTTCTTTAAAAAAAAACAATTTGAAAACCCCTTCTTCCCAATACATAACCTTTTCTACTTTTTATTTTAACTGGTATTCTTGATGCCATCAGATAGATACATTCTGAATGTTCTCTTCATAGTGAAAAACACCTTGAGGAATTTGGAGTGGTGTTTGTTTGTTTGTTTGTTTGTTTGTTTGTTTGTTTGTTTTTTCCTTTGTTTCTGGTTTGTTTCTGCATTCTCGTGAGTGTAGCTGGATTTTAATTTGAAAATTCTTTGCCTTGCCTGCTGGGATGAACAAGTCTTTGTAGATTGAAGTAAAACATAAAAATGAATCAGGGCTTTCTGCTTCATTGCACTTAGCAGTAGCTAATCCATCAAAATATTTCTTTCAATACAGGTTTTTGTATTTTATATATTACTTGACTTTGAAGAATTCTATTTTCTTAAGCAATTACAAGATGAAACAAGTCTTTATTTAAATTTTTACAACATAAACAAGACTTTACCTGTTAGCAATTTTATATAACTCCGAGTCCTAATAAGTAATTTTTTTGCCTTTAGTCACTGGAAAATGACAAGATAAGACTTGAAAAGGATTTGGCATTCAAAGAAAATCAAATAAAGGAATATGAAGAACTCTTGGCATCAGTGAGAGCAAACAATCGCCAACAGCAAGTAAGTTGATGTCTTTTGTAGGTGATACTCTAGACTGATAGCTTTCCATATCCACTATTACTAGCATTTTTATGTTCTGAGATACAATACAGGCAGCTTTAAAGTGTATGGAACCATTTGTTCATCTGATAATTGAACAGCTTTGAATATTTTCAACAACTGAATGTCCTCTCAGAAAAATAAGCAACCTTATGTATTATATAGTATACAAAGTACACAGTTCTCTGTATTGAGGGGCAATAAGAACCACTGAAAGTTTAAGTTGACTCAGTCATTCAAACTAATGATGTGTTAACTGAGAAAAATTGTACATATTATGTTTGTGTACTTAATAAACAAAGGAATGAACTCTAAAGTCATTCTGTAGTTCTCTGATATAATTCTAATCAAACTGTAATGAGACCCTAGAGTTCATTCTCTTCATGTCATGACATTCCCAAAGATTTTACAAAGCTTATATTTTTACCATAATCAAGGAATAATAATTTTAGACTGCGAATATAGTATGATGTGGTAAGACCAGAAAGAGCCTAAAAACTAAATTGAGATACTGTATATTTTATATAAATATTATTAATTTTTGCTCAAGCTAGAGAAATGAGATTAGGAACTATATTAATATGTCGTATGATATTTACAATATCATCTAAAGGTAAAAACCTAACACAGTGGTTCTCAACTTTTCTACCACTGCAGCCCTTTAATATAGTTCCTCATGTTAAGGTGACCCTCCTTAAATAGGTATTTCTCTTTTGAATTTTATCATATATGGTTGACTTTTATTTTGATATTTGAAGTTTTATTTAGAATATTCTATTTTTAATGCATGTGAGTTATAATAAATTAGGAAATAAATCTTAGTGTTTCCAAAAAAAAAAAAAACCTAATAGATTCAATTTGAAAAAAACATTTTCTTCATTTTTCTCAATGCATCACTTAAAAGGACATTTTATCTGTAAATTCAAAATTGATTTTTCTTATGGATTTTTGTCTTTACAGCAAGGACTTCAAGCCTCAAGTTCAAAATGTCAGACATTGGAAGAAAATAACCTTTCTCTTCAACATACACTGTCAGACATGGAATACAGACTAAAAGAACTAGAATATTGTAAACGTAATTTAGAGCAAGAGAATAAAAACCTTAGAATACAGGTACTAATTTTTGTAGTATTGTCCCAGTAATATAATTATAAATCTATCATTGTTAATAGAATACACAAACTTCACCTTAAAAAGTACTTGGACTCTTTTCTGTTGACCTTAACTGAAAATTTTATCAAACTGACACTTGAACTTTATCAAACAGATTCTCAAGATCATTTTTTTTTATTTTTAGTGTCTTATTTAATCACATGGTATTCATGCAATAATAAATCTTGAAACCTAATATATATTTTCTTCCTAAGAATCCAATTACAGAAAGTTATTTTGGTTTTGTGTAGGTGTCTGAGACTTGCACAGGCCCGATACTACAGGCTAAAATGGATGAGATTGGCAACCATTATACAGAGATGGTAAAAAACTTGAGACTTGAGAAAGACAGAGAAATCGGCAAGCTAAGGGTATGTTGACCCTACATTGTATAAATATACATTTCTACAGAAACTTTTAGAACAATAGTGATTGTTGGACCTTGAGAAGTTGGAAATGTTTTTATTTCCTCTGATGTTGGAATGAGGTGAAAATCATACCCAGGCTTTAGAAGTACATGGCTTAGCCTGAGTCCAGAGTACTTTTGTCTAATTACCTTTAAGCCTAGGCCTGGAAGCTTCCAGCTTCTGTGCAATCTAATCTTCTGCAAGCCTGGACCTTGAAGGCTTCAGCTTCTGATCTCCATCTCCCAATCTAGGCCTAGAATGTTTTCATTCTCCGGGACTTACGGCTGAATAAGATCACCCTTTCTAGTTCTTTCTGAATTCTTGCTGGCTGGTTCAATTCAGCTGTTCTGGCGCATAACTTCTTTCCAAGTCGACTGATTCAAATTGGCTTCTCTTGCCTTCTCACCGAATTATTCTTAGAAAAATTGCCTCTGAACTTTGCAAACCTAACTGCACAAACTCAGCTGCATTCAACTGAACTGTACCAAACTTCACTAAACTGTATTGTACTCCTGAACTCTACTGTTTCCACGAACTCCTGTATTGTACTCTACTCCACTGTACTATACTCTCTCTGAGCTGACATTAAGTAGCTTCTCTTTTCTGTCTGTTCTTATGAGAGTTGAATGTATCCTATCTCTGACTCATTCTGTCAAATATTTCTCTGATTCATCACTCTGTCTGTCCCTCAAGTAGGCATCACTGTTTGGGATTAAAGGAGTGTACTAAAAATGTTTCTATATTCCAGCCAGAGGTATTAAAGCTGTTTCTTGTCTATATTCCAGCAAAAAGGTTTAAGGGTGTATATTTCAGCCAGAGGAACTAAAAGTGTGTACTAAGGGTGTGTCTGTATTCCAGCCAGATCATACAGACCTAGGAATTGTATGTGATGTTTTGACAGACTAGCCATGTTGCTGGATTAAAATTCCTCTACAAGAGGTAATTCAGAACACGTGCTGTTCAATCATGAGGAGCTGAATTTGAATATCAATACCCTTGTAACCAGCTAGGCATCTTTCAAATGCCTGTAACTACAGCTCTGTGAGATTCATTACCTTCTGGCCTCTGTATGCACATACAAACATGAACACACATGCATGCACAGATAAATTAATAAGGTAAATTTTTATTAAAAAATAATAATTATCATCACCATCACCACCACTCCCCAACCCTACTACTATTAAAAAATAAAAATAAATTATTATTATAACTTCAAAGCTACAGAGAAAACTAAGTACATTGATGGTTTTTTAATATTTTCTAAAACCTTTTATAATAAATATACTTCTGTATATTAAAAACAGTGAAACTTCTGTTATTTCAAGTTAAATTATATTATGCTTCAGGATATTTTTTCTTCTCATGGTAAAAAGAGTATTAATTTCATTGTCTTGATTTTTACTAATTTTTAACAATTTACATTTGGGAGATGGGTGGAAGACCATTCATAATATTCCTTAATGCATCTTTCTTCAGGGAAGAGTAATATCTAGCATTATACAGCTAAACCATAGTTTAACTGAATAATTTATAGATATTTTAAGTTTTTAAATTAAAAATATTATAGCACTTCACCTTTCTCTTCCCTCTCCCCAATCCCTCCTCTATACCCATGCTTTGCTTCCTCTCAAGATATTGACCTATTTTTCTTTAAATGTTATTATAAATACCTAAACACATAAATATAACTTGCTTAGCACATTTTGTGCTACTTGTACATATATAATTTTGAGGCTGCCCATTTGGTATGAATAACCAGATAAGGTATTTATATGTAGGGAAAACTATTTTTCCCACTCATTGCAAGAATGATCAATCTCACAGCAGATTTACTGGTCTTCTGACTTTAGTCTTACTGTCCCCTCTTCCTTGATGTTTCCTGAGCCTGAGGTTCAGTAGTTATGTTTTACACGTATCAATTGAGGCTGGTCACCTCATGCTCATTTGTTCTCTGTATTTTAACATATTATACATATTAAGAATTTTGACACTCATGATGTTATACTGGATTTTTTTCATCTATAATAGACACCAAAATTAAGATATTTGCAAGAGTAGGTATTGTTTTACCTTATAATTCTATGTTGAATTGATCTAACTAAACCTTATTTTACTCAGTACTAAATGTAGACAAATACATTTAAATATCTTATGATTTGTTTATATTTATTTTTTGTGGATTGCTATGTTCGTGAAGTTCACGAATGTCTTGGACATGGAGTTACAGACAGTTGTGAGCTGTGCCATGTGGGTGCTGGGATTGAACTTGGGTCCTCTCAGAAAGGCAACCAATACTCTTAACAGATGAGCCATCTCTTCAGCTCCTACATTTAAATATCTGAATGGAAAAAATGGCCAATGATTTAAATAAATTAAAGAAAACCTAATTTGTTACTAGGCCTACTGATAATTCTATGAAATATCTTTCCACTGGTCTGTTCCAACCTAACATAATTAAAAGCATTTTAATCCAGCAGCTTCTATGTCTACATATGTGGAAGTGAGGAAGACAAGGTATGTCCTCAGGCACCTTTTCTTTGAGTTAGAGTTGTTATTACATTAGTCTGGATTACTTTTTAGATTAATTTAACTTTTTAAAAAATAATGCTTATCTCCCTGGGATAGTGTTAATATTCACGTAAGACATGCATCAAGAGTCATTTTGTGAACTAAAAGTCACATTATAACATTAAGATTGAAGGTGCTTTAATTAGTTTTTTTTAATTTTTTTATTAATTACACTTTATTCATTTTGTATCCCCCCATAAGCCCCTCCCTCCTCCCCTGCCGATCCCACCCTCCCTCCCCTTTCTGCATGCATGCCATTCCCCAAGTCCACTGATAGGAGAGGTTCTCCTCTTCTTTCTGATCTTAGTCTATCAGTTCTCATCAAAAGTGGCTGCATTGTCCTCTACTGTGGCCTGATAAGGCTGCTCCCCCCTCAAGGGGAAGTGATCAACGAGCAGACCAATCAGATTATGTCAGAGGCAGTCCCTCTTCCCATTACTATGTAACCCACTTGGACACTGAACTGCCATGGGCTACACCTGTGCAGGGGTTCCAGGTCATCTCCACGAATAGTCCTTGGTTGGAGTATGAGTCTCTGGGAAGTTCCCTGTGTTCAAATTATCTGTAAAGCAAAGGACACCGTCATCAAAACAAAGCGACTGCCTACAGATTGGGAAAGAATCATCACCAACCCTTTATCTGACAGAGGACTCATATCCAATATATATAAAGAACTAAACAAGCTGAAAAGCAACAAACCAAGTAATCCACTTAAAAAATGGGGAACAAAGCTAAAGAGAGAATTTTCGGCAGAGGAATATCGAATGGCAGAGAAGCACTTACAGAAATGCTCAACCTCATTAGCCATTAGGGAAATGCAAATCAAAACAACCCTGAGATTTCACCTTACACCCATCAGAATGGCCAAGATGAAAATCGCAAGGGACAACACATGCTGGAGAGGTTGTGGAGAAAGGGGAACCCTTCTCCACTGCTGGTGGGAATGTAAACTGGTACAACCACTCTGGAAATCAATCTGGCGCTTTCTCAGACAACTAGGAATAGCGCTTCCTCAAGATCCAGCCATACCACTCCTAGGCACATACCCAAAAGAGGCACAAGTACACAAAAAGGACATTTGCTTTAATTAGTTTTTGACAGAATCCAAAGAGCCTATTTTCTTAGCTTAATTCTTTTGCTATGTCCTAAAGCATTTGCTTAGGAAGTACATAATCGTATAAAGTAAGCACAGCATTTTAAGATGAGAAATTTTTAACTGGCATTTAACCTTATATTTTACATCAATATAATTCTGTAGATATTTATGGAAATTGATGTATTAATTTTCATTTTATGACTAGGTGTGTGATTTGACCTAACTCTACTACACTAGAATTAAGTTGTATTTTTAGAGTATTATAACAATTATTATTTCTAAATCCTTAGTCCCAATTAAACCAGTACCAAAAAGATGTTTCAAAAAGAGAAGGAAGTTGTAGTGACTTCCAATTCAAGCTTCATGAATTGACAAGTTTACTGGAAGAGAAGGATTCTGTTATAAAGCGTCAATCAGAGGTAAGAAAAAAAAAAAAAGGAAAATTCAGGGTAGAGAAGAATGATACAATTAATTTCTGTAGAATAAATAATGTCCATGGTTTAGGAAAGGAAACATAGAGCTGGAGAAATGGTTCAGCAGCTAAAGGCTAGACTCTTAATCAAAACAGCAAGGAAATACACATTACCAAAACATTACTACATAGGAGAGTATGTATATGAATAGTAAGATTTCCACTTAAAATGAAATCGAAGCAGAAATTGATGTTTTAAAAAAATGGTGTTGTATATTTACTATTTCTAAGACCCTGACTTTATATTTTATTAGCAGTGAAATTCCTCAAAGCCTGTGAGCTCATTTCTAGATCATGAACTCTCCTTCATTAAACCATGTCAGCAGCACAAAGCCCAGGATCTGCCATACAATAAGTTCTAATAGAACTATTAAAATCAATGGCTAATATTTTATTGTTATTATTTTATAATGGCACACATAGTAACATTCACAATAAATTTATGTTAGAACACTGCATCTACTTATTTATTGAAATATTACTATTATTGCTAGTATTAATTGGCCTTACTTTCCAACTGTTCAGAACAAAAAAAAATACATTCTCATACTGACAACCATGTCCATCTGATTGTCAATATCCCATGTTAATTAGTGAGGTTCTTAAAAGGCATGTATATTTTGGGTACTGTGGATCAGCATTAGTAGGATTAGAACACTTTATATCAAATCCAGAAGGAGTGGTGGGGTTGTCCTTAGTAATCTTAGTACATTATGCTTATATTTATATTTAAATAATCATTGTTTTTAATTTGTAAGGAACTCTCAAAGTTGAGACAAGAAATATACTCATCCCATAACCAGCCCTCCAGCAGTGGAAGGACTACAATCACCACAAAAAAGTAATGTATTTTAAAATGACATTTTATTTTTTTAATTAATAATTTTTTATTAAGTACAGTTTATTCACTTTGCATTCAAGCTGTAGCCCCTCTCTCATCCTTCCCAATCCCGCCCTCCCTCCTTCATCTTCTGCCATGCCCCTTTCCAAGTCCACTGATAAGGGAGGTCCTCCTCCTCCTCCATCTGACCCTAGCCTATCAGGTCTCATCAGGACTGGCTGCATTGTCTTCCTCTGTGGCCTGGTAAGGCTGCTCCCCCCTCAGGGGGAGGTAAAATGACATTTTAAAATGCCAAGTTATTATAAAATTTAAGTTATTATTCTCTCAGTTGAAGTGTATATCACTAAACCTCAGCAATTATACTGAAGAATGACTATATTTAAAAGGACATTGCTATCATAGTTACAATAACTGTATATCATGTTTATAGTATATTAAATACTACTGAAGTAAAAAACAAATACTCAGTGATTCAATTATGACACTGTATCTATCAGTTGATAGATATTCAGTTGTGCCCAAATTTGGACTATTATAAATATTACAATGACCATCTCTGTACAACTCTTGAATATATCCTTCATTTCTTTTGAGTATAGGCTTAGGAGTGAAGTTATTAGCTACGATAGTTAAATTAACTTTATTGCAGAACTACCTTGCAGCTTTCCAAAGAAGCTCTATCATTGTACATTCCCACAAGTAGTAAAGGGGGTACCAGCATTTCTCTACTCTTGCCACATTTGTTAGTGTTCTTCTTTTGGACAATATAGTTGCTGAGGTTTGGGATTTTTTTTGATTGACTTTTCTTCAGGGGGTGGTTCAAGGCAAGGTTTCTCTATGTAGCTTTGGCTGTGGTGGACTCACACTTTAGACCAGGCTGGCCTTGAACTCACAGAGATCCACCTGCCTCCCCCATTGCTGGGATTACAGGTGTGTGCCACCATGCCCAGCAACTGTTGAGTTTTTATTTGTAGCTTTGATTTTTATTTTTCTAACTAGTGATCATATTTTTGCATTATGTTATACATATATATATATATATATATGTATATATGGAATGTATATTTAATTCTTTGAAAATTTTTCTATTTAAATTATTTTTCCACTTTCAATTGCCTAGTTTTTATTATAGACTGTTTTATTCCATTGATTTTTATGCCACTGTCACACTACTGTTTATTACTATAGGTCTTAATAGGTTTAAAGCAAGAGTGCTCATGTTAAGAATCATGCTTTCCTATCATAATTCTTCTAGGAGTTCTGGGATTAAAAGTGTATGCTACCATGCCCATTTCTCCATCAGTTACTGAAACAATAATTTATAGTTTTCATTTATACTTCTTTGCTATCTTTATTCCTAAGTATTTTTTCATACAATTGCTGGGAAAATTGTTTTCTTTTTTAAAAGGAAAAATTTCACATGCATATATGTCTATGTACCATCTGCATGCCTGGTGTACAGGAAGGCCAGAAGAGGGCATTGGATCCACCAGAACTGAGCTGTAGATGATTTTAAGCCACAATGTGGGTGTTGGGAATGGAAGAGTAACCATTGTTCTGAACCTCCTAGTCATCTCTTAAATTCCTAGATTTGTTTCCTTAACTTTATTTTCAGATCATTCATTATAGGATTACAGTTTGTAGTCTATGTATTAATTTTCTATCTTTCAAGGTTAAAGATATGTTGTAATAGCTTATTTTTTAACTGAACTCAAAATTCTCTTATGTGAAATTATTTCATTTGCAAATAGAAGTGTTTAGCTTCTTCATTTTCAGCCTGGTTACTTTTGTTGTTGTTGTTATTTTAGATTTTCGAGACAGGGTTTCTCTGTGTAGTCTTGCCTGTCCTGGATTTGTTTTGTAGACCAGGCTGGCCTTGAACTCACTGTAATCCACCTATGTCTGCCTCCCTGAGTGCTGGGATTACTGGTGTGCCCCATGTGTGCCACTGTCCCTGGGTAGCCTGGTTACATTTTATTTCCTTTTTGTTGACTAATTGCCCTGAAATTTCCAATACAATGTTAAATAGAAGTGAGAAAGGGATTTTTTTTAAACTTTTTCTGATCATGATTAGTGGGTGGAGGAATTCTCTTTACATTTCAATTATGATGTTAGCTGTGAGTTAGGATTATTTTTAATCAAATTGAAGATCCATACTTTATGGAGTTTTTTTCAGGTTATCACAGTGCTAGAAAATTTAAAGCTTAATTTTTATCTACTTAGGTGATCAAAAGACGATGCCCATTGTACTATAAATAATATATTAAATGATTTAAAGATGTTCCAATATTAATATTGTTTGAATCTAATATTCTTGTTCATGGTATGTGACTATTTTCATATGTTATTGAACTGCCACTCCCCAAGTCCACTGATAGGGGAGGTTCTCCTCTTCTTTCTTATCAGGCCACAGTAGAGGACAATGCAGCCACTTTTTATTTTTTGTTCTTTTAATCTTGTGATATATTTCTGGTTCTAATAGCAGGTTAAAATTTACTTTATAAAATGAATTTCCAAGGATTACCATTAATTCTTTAAACTCCTGATGCACTATACTAGTTTCAAATATTTGAAGATTGTTTTTCGTTTGGGGAAATTGTTTGTTTGTCTTGTATTTCAAATTTTTTCTGTTTGTTCTTGAGATAGATTCACACTCTGTATTCTCTTAGGAATTTATTCATCTGAGTTACCTATTTTTTTTCCCTACAGATTTTCATAGTACTCATTTTATGTACTCATTTTTATTTCTTCAAAGTCACTAATAGTGATTTTTTTCTTTACCATTGTAATTTTAACAATCTGAGTTTTCTTTAGTCCTGATAAATCTGTATTGTTTTCCCTTTTCATTTATATTTTATTGTTTAATTTTTTTCTTTAATAATTTCATACATGTATACAATGTACTCTGTTTATTGTTACTCCGACTGTCTCTTATTTCCCTCTTACCTGTTACCTATACCCTATTTCCCCACAGTTCCCTCTCCCCCATTAATATCTTTTTTGTTTCTTCAAAGTCAATAATAACGATATTCTATTTAACCTATGAGATTTTAGCAATTTGAGCCCTTTCTCTTTTTCTTGGTACATCTATATTAACTATTCAGAAATAATTTTCATTTCAGAAATCTCTATTTACTTTATCTCCTATCTAACCTTTTAAATTATATTTCCTACTTGTATTTTATATTTACTTTCTCTTTATGAATAGTTGCTAAGATACAAGCCTAGGGGATAAAGCTGAAACTGTTCTTTCCTTATAGAATAGGAAATACAGCTATAATATTTTTGAGCACTTCTTTCTTCATATTGCATAATTTTTACTATTCTCTATTTTGTAATTGTTTTAGGATATTTCCTTTCTTTCTTTTCTATTTCATTTATTCAGTGTTGTGAATGGAATGCAATGCTTTGAGAATATATAAAGAAGTTAAACAGCAACAAATCAAGCAATCCAATTAAAAATGGAGTACAGAGCTAAACAGAAAATTCTCTGTAGAGGAATATAGAATGGCAGAGAAGCACTTCAAGAAATGCTCAACGTCCTTAATCATAAGGGAAATACAAATCAAAATGACCCTGAGATTTCACTTTACACCCATCAGAATGGCTGAGAACAAAAATTCAACTGACAAAACATGCTGGAGTGGATGTGGAAAAAGGGGAACCCTCCTCCATTGGTGGTGGGAATATAAACTTCTGCAACCACTTTGGAAATCAATCTGGCTCTTTCTTAGGCAATTAGGAATAATGCTTCCTCAAGAACCAGCTTTACCACTCCTAGGCATATATCCAAAATATGCTCAAGTATGTAAGGACATTTGTTCAACCATGTTCATAGCAGCTTTACTTCTAATAGCCACACTCTGGAAACAACCCAGATGTCCCTCAGTTGAGGAATGGACACAGAAATTGTGGTACATTTACACAATGGAACACTACTCAGCAATTAAAAACAAAGAAATCATGAAATTTGCAGGCAAATGGTGGGAACTTGAAAAGATCACCCTGAGTGAGGTATCCCAGGAGCAGAAAGACATGCATCATATATACTCACTTTTAAGTGGATATTATACATATAATATAGAAAAAAATCATACTAAAATCTGAATACATAAAGAAGCTAAGTAAGAAAGAAGAGCCTGGGTAAGATGATCAATCCTGACTCAGAAAGGCAAACGGGACGGACATCAGAAGAGGGAAAAAACAGGGAACAAGAGAGGATCCTACCAGAGGGGGCCTCTTAAAGACTCTATCCAGCAGTATATCAAAACAGATGCTTTGGGCAGCTTTGGGCAGAGTGCAGGGAATCTTATGAAAGGAGGGGGATAGAAAGGCCTGGAGGGGACAGGAGCTCTACATGGAGAGCAATAGAACCAAGAAAATCTGGGCCCATTTGTCTTTTCTAAAATTAATACTCCAACCAAGGACCATGCATGGAGATAACCTAGAACCCCTGCTCAGATGTAGCTAATGCCATATCAGTCTCCAAGTGGGTTCCTAGTAAG